CACGGTACTGACAGGAAAACGGAAACATTAACAGGACTTCAACAACGGCCGTGTTGTTATGCACCTACTGCGCTTGGCTGAGAATTTGCATCTTCTACTCTTTGTCCTCTTTCTCCTAGTGTATCAAGGCTATTATTCCCCCCAAGTCAAAGCAGAACGAGTACTATAACATTCATTTTGGCACCTATTCACAAAGAGAGAGAAAAAAAAGTATCCCTGACCATTTCCCAGTCCTCGCTCCTTGTTTACTGTACATGACTTTCCACAATCCCTGCCACTTCCACAACAATTTCATCCTGTAAAGCCAAAGCAAGATCAATCTTTGAAAATGGCTGTTATGACACGGGTGCCGACTTGTTGAGAAATATACGACAGGACGCCATGGTCATCTGAGGCTGGTGCCGCAGTATGGGAGTGGTCAGTTGTCAGTGACTGATGAAATGACATTATAGGGGCAGAATCACAGATGGGGAGGACGGGGGCGATCGCTGGCCACTGGGGTGGGGAGAGCAAACGGAGTAATGCTCAGTGGCATTTGAGCGGGATAGGTGCGTTGGTGTGATGTATCGTCTGTCACGGTGTCGACTCCCACACAAGGTCCGACCAGCCTGGATTGGGAGAGCTCAAGGGCGGAAAGCTACACGGACCTGCTTAGGAGATTTACCGATAGCAGGGAATTGAGTGATCTACTACTCTGGGAGATTTTGAGTAGCTAATAGGTGATCAAAGGGGAATTGTGAGTTTTACGCCGGCAGGACTGGATATATGGCGAGGTGTGATAAAATCCAGTTCTGAGGATAATGTGTGTCCAGTATAAATCTGCTTTAATGTGATAATGACCTTGTAATTAGGCGATTTTTTGTTCAAAGATTAGTAGATTGTAGAAGGAGTGGACAAACCAAGTAATGACCCATATTGTTTAAACTGATTATAGATAACTCAAACAACTCGATCTGGAGCCAAAATACATTGGTAGTAACAGCTTAGCAACCAAAGAGCCAATCAGGTGCGGCGCTGGTTTGTTCCTGTTCGTAAGCCAAAGCTTTTTCCATTCTCTCTACACACAGTGATGACAGGGGGCTTGGCAAAATTGCAAAAGACAAAAATTGAGCCAATGAAAACAACTTTATAATTGTTTCTTTTTGTGTTGAAATGATTATTAACCGTCATCCGCCTCGGTGACGTGTGATTTATCAGACTTATTGAGTAGGTGTGGTCAGCCTGATTGACAAACCACGCCCCCTTTCGCTCGATGGTCTCTGGATGAGGGTGTGTCATGTGTGGGACAGGAAAAAGGCTCCCTCATGGTTGGTGGTGGTCAGAGGGGCCGATGGCACATACTGTCAGTGTGCCCCAGGGCAGCTGTGGCTACAGTAAGTAATCTTTTATTTATATACCGCCTTTTCACTGCAGATCTGAGTCTCAAAGCGGTTTACAATTGTTAATTTTGGGCATTTGTCTCTCACTCCACACAGAGATGGGAGCGGGGTCGCCAGTACAGGAGGCGCATGCTAGAACTATTGGACATATTTTTTAGTGGTAGGGGAAACCAGGGTACCCGGAGGAAACCTACGCAGACACGGGGAGAACATGCAAACTCCACTCAGAAAGGCCCTGGTCTGACCGGGATTCGAACCCAGGACCTTCTTGCTGAGAGGCGAGAGTGCTATCCACTCAGCCACCGTGCTACAGTAGTAGTTTATCACCACCGTATTTGGAGTGAATGAAAAATGACATCTTTGAGCGTCCAAAAAAGCTCTATATATTTATTTTTTAAATGATTCTTTATTTTCTCGATCCAAAAACCTGTGTCCTGTTTTTCTCTTACAGTGATCTGAAACGGCTGATTTGAGACTTTCCTGATTTGCTTGTTCCTTCATGGCCCTAGTGAGACTCAAGGAAATACTGTACATCTAACTTTATTCTTTCAAAAGAACCACAAAAACCTCTCAGTGCAAACAAACCCGACGGCTGAAGGGCAGGACAAAAAATGTAAAACCAACTCGATGCACTAATCACTTGAGGGAATATCCGACATGCCTTGCTTAAGCGAACCTTGAAAGCCAAAGAAGCCAGATACTCAAGCTGCATAAACAATGTGCGTCCAATAAACTCACGGACATTAACTTCCAAACTGGTCAGACAGGTGGTGTTTACTTTCAGCGTGACCACAGCATAATGGCCCTTGTAACGACCATGCATTTTATACCTGAATGTGAGCGATAGCCACGTTCAGTGCGTCAACGCTGCCAAATAACTACGACAGGGGTTTCTCCAGTTATCAGTGCTCCATGACTTATTTTTCAGACAACTTTTAGCTTCTTCCTTTAAAACAAGTGATCTTTACTCTCTAACGGTTGTAAATTTGCAAGTTGAATAATCGATCATCTGGCTGATTACTGGTTCTATTCCTCAAGTAAATGAATTTTGTTTAGATTTCGAAAGGTAAGTAATGTGTTTTTTTTATACATTTGACCAAAACAAAGCTCAAGTGACGCCTCTGCAGAACATTTTCATAGAGACGACTTGTGACACATTTGGTGGTTTGACTGAAAATACTTTGTAACCGCCGCAGTTATCATTTAAGCAAGCCTCAAAAATGATTAATTGATAACTCATTTAGCTTGACAACTCATCCAGAAGAGATGACTGAAGAAAACGGATGGATGGATGAATTAGTTGTGACCGATAAAAACACTTGTTACAGCCCAAGCACTTTTTGCATTTCATAATTATAATTACACAACATAAAAACAGAGGTAGAAGCATAATAATGTATTCTGGTTAGCTGCCCTTCAGTTAAATGTTTTATTCATTGACGGAATTAAATATTTCTACTGCTGTCTGTGTGTGTTTAGGTGTGTAAAGGCAACACTACAAGGTCTCGAAAGAATATATGTTTTTGAGAATGTTTTCTTAACTTAATACTAACTAATCTATTATCCTCAAGTACCTCAGAATAATTCTTTTGCCCCCTCAGTGCATATACCGTTCCCAGTCTCCCCTGCCAACACAGACAGAGGAAGCTAGACCCAGGTGCTTAGCAAAACTTGCCAAAAACAATCTCCTGCTTTATTTGATTAGAACACCGACACCGCCGCCGCTGCCCCTCCCGCAAACCCTGCTAGGTGAGTTATTATTAGCAAAAGAAATTAAAAGCCAATTAGGGTAGTTGGAATTGAAAGAGACATGAATTAGATGGCTACAAGGTATGAGTTAGGGATTACATTGTTGAAATTGGATGTGATAGCGTGATTATATGCTCTGGCTTAGCTCTGCCGAATTGTGCGCCGTATCTGACAGGGCTGAGCCGGATCCCACTGAGCAAAGCAGGGTTTTTACATTGTCCTCATTAGCTGCAAACAGCGGGAGAGAACCGGTGGCGTACTGTATGTATAGCGACACACCGCCAGCAGGATTTTTCCTTTTGTTCTTTTTGGAGTCTGTGGTCGCACTCCCAGATCACGAGCTGCACAGATGAGTGTCAGCTCAGATAAAAACTGTGCCGAACAAAAGAGCGCCAGGGAAGTTGAGGTAATTATCCACTATGTTTGACCATTAGGGGTGGGAACCTCAGGGTACGTCACCATACGATACGATACGATACGATACGATACGTGATACAAAGCTCACGACAACGATTATATCACAGTATGACGATTATCAATATATTGGTCAGAAATATAATGTTATAGAAATATTTTAGTAAATCTGAATAAACACAAAATAGTTGTAAGTGTAAGTTAATAACTAATTCTCAACTCTGGATTCAAATACAGCACATATTGGCATAAATAAAAGAAAAAAAGTGAAAAAATACACTTTATTTTATGATAAATGGAATGGAGATGCGTAATGTAGCCATATATTAAGTATTGATAGTAATAAAAAAATAATCTGTGAAAAAATAATAATAATACTTTAAATTGATACTTGGCAAAAGCATATCAATAATCGATCGCGTGAGAAAGTATCACGATCCATCACGATATCGATATATCGTCACACTCCTATTGACCATAGCTTGAATCGAAGTTAAAAGAAAAGGGGAGAGAAACGTGTGTGGACATTGAACACATTTACAATTTTGAGTTATTGGTGTTGTCTTTAATTTGATACTTTGTAGCAGGAATGCGGCTGCAACTAATGCGATACCGATAAGACTATTAATATTACTGATTGGATTAAAGGCAAATGCAAATTGTGCTCATACAAAGTTGAACCAGCTTAACAACATCTTGACAGTGTATATTTCCAGATAAGTTGTTATTTATCATTACAGTCGAATTGTTTATGTCCAAAAGAAACTCTGAAAAATAGAAAATTACAAAGAAAGGCTCGACATATGGCACTTTGCGGGAAATCCGTCTATCTCATATTGGTTTCACATTTTATCTAATTTTCCAAGGTTCACCTGTACTTTTAGTGTTTTTTTATTTATATATTTTGTTGCCTAAGGTGTAGGCTGAGTACTTTTACACAAGAATTCCAAAGTGGTTTCCAACAGAAAATGCCACATCAATTGAATTTGAATCTGTAAATAATTAGCAGCATTGTGGATCCCTATTTCTGTTTAGGCAGTGAAAATATAAAACATGGTAATATCATTTAATTAAACAAATATTTCAAAAAGGACGGAATTTAAATGAAAAAACTGTCTTTGCCCCAAACATTATTGAATTTCCATGTGTTTTAAGAGCGTCACTGCGTAAGGATACTTTGAAGTGGGACCAAAAGTGGTGATATTTCACTGTGGCATTTTCCAGGACATTTGCATTTTGGTGACGAAGCAGAAAGAGAAGAGTAAAAACCGACTCAGGGCAATCTCTGAAAAGCACTGAAGGCAAGAAACATTACTTTTGGGGGTTTTAAAACAAGCAATAAAAAAATTGGGCAAAATAACTGCTTGTGTTATCAGAGCAAAGGGGCAGATACAGAATTGGCGCAGACCTTCTTCACGAGACTAACCAATGAGAAAGGCCCGTGTCAAACTAAATGATATGGGGAAAGAGGAAGCAAAGGTTTTTCATGAAGAACAAGGTGTGTGCAATGTCAAGGTAAAGGGCGGGACGGAGACAGATGTTGGCCTTGTTTACGAGTGATAATAAAGACGGTTGTGCCTGGAGCGCAGCAATCTGAAAAGTGCTCAATAAAACAAAATGCGTTTATACAAATTAGAAAACTGTGGTTACATTTTGGCGGGAAACATGATTTTTGCTAGTTTGATTTTTATTTCAAGTGAAGACAGTATGTTATATGCACTCTTAATGGTCTATCATCAATTCATTATAAATACAAAAAAAAAAGTATGTCCGAAAATTCCTGTGTGACGTAAGACTAGATATTTTTGGTTCTGTGGCTGAATTCAAAAGAATGAAAAAAAAATTGATTCTGCTAAATCTCACATAGCTAAGTAGGACACTCATTCTGCTCTCTGATTGGATGATCTGCTTTAAACCGTAAACAAAAAATATGATGTATGGTATATAAATTATGCATGGTATTGTAATGAAGAATAACTCCACTTTAAACCTTTTTTTAAACGTGAAGCATTTGAACGAAAGAATCTGCGTTCCTCCAACCTTGTATCAGAGGCTGAAGAAAAGGGGTGGTCCGTTCTGGTGCGGCCATAGACTGTATATATTAACGGACAGAGTCACGCCTATCTCCGCCATTCTAACTGATGGGCCAAAAAATGTGCTCTACTGGAGCAATCCAAAATGGCGAAAAAACGCATCTGTGCATGCGTCAGCCGGCGCAACTCCATTCATTTGAACGAGAGACTTCAAAAATTCACAGCAAATAAACTAGAGTGGACCAGAACACTCCCTCAGCATTGACACACATGTGGAACGGAGCTTTGGGCCAAGAGACAATCGTCTTCAATGGACAGGATGTGTTATTTTCATTTTAAATTATACCTAGTCTATCTTCAATATGTGTCCTCAGATAATAAGTACATATTTGACCTTTTCGGATCAAATCTTCTCTTTATCTTTATCTTTATCTTGGGCGGCACGGTGGCTGAGTGGATATAGCACTCTCGCCTCTCAGCAAGAAGGTCCTGGGTTCGAATCCCGGTTGGACCAGGGCCTTTCTGAGTGGAGTTTCATGTTCCCCCCGTGTCTGCGTAGGTTTCCTCCGGGTGCTCCGGTTTCCCCTACCACTAAAAATATGTACAATAGGTCTGGCATGTACTGGCACCCCCACTCCCAAAAAATCACAATTGTAAACCGCTTTGAGACTCCGATGTGCAGTGAAAAGGCGGTATATAAATAAATAAAGATAAAGAAGAACTTTTGGTCCATCCTGTAAAGACGTTTTTGAGAGGTCTGCCAATGCTATATGTTAGCATTGGCTAATTCTTCTTCTGGGTCCACCCCCATCGGCCCGGGGTGGTATTGCAAGCATGTCAGCGCACGTCATTTTGGCCACTTTTGAGCTGGGACCCGCCCCCACTGGGTGCGGCCTGTAGAAGTTGGCTGCAGGGGTTTTGTTGCAAATTCCACAATAAGGTTTTTGAAAGATGTAGGCATGAGAGGGCAGAGAAATTTAATAAAAGAACTGGTCACAGCAGCAGAAAGAAGCAGTCATTGGCTGTGGCTGAGACGGAGGGAGACAAGTTGGCGAGCAAAGTAACCGCTATGTGCCTATGCGTCACACACCCAGGTCTGACCAGCCGGAGGTGGGCCTGCCCCGGTGGAGGGTGTCTTGTGATAAAAGGCCGAAACACCCAATGAAAACGCAGGATCTTCCATCAATAGATTCCAAGGTTCAACTTTGGGGTGAATTACTAGGGATTGAAACAGGCCTCTTCATTTAAATTACTTTGTTCAAAAAATGTCAGGGATGACTTCTAGATGTGGACTTCTATAGAGGCACATATTTACATAAAGAAAGTTGAATTAAAATAGATATTATAGTGCCTTTTTTTTTCCAAGATTTTTTTTTTTAAGTTAGCACTATTAAAATTACTAACTATTTTGACTCAAACAAGTGATTTTAGAAACCTAATTAATCTAATATACCTTTAGAAACCTAATTAATCTAATATACCTCCGTGTTGGTGCAAAACTCTCAAAGTGTTTTTACCCAATTACGTTCAGTGGCTTTGCATGTTCTTCCTGTGTTTTTTCTAAATTGTTTTATTGTCCCTGTGCAAAAACCTTAAAACAATTGTTATTGATTTGGTTATTTATGTCACATCAAATCAGACAGTATCAGTCCAAAGATTCACCCCGCTCTCCTTTGTTATGGCTTTACATCCTCGGCATCAAATAATTATTCTGAGTGCAGCGCAAATGAATATAAGATGGATTGCCTTTTGCCGTGACATTGCCACACAGGGAGTTACAGCTCTCTTCTTCCATTACAATTGATGGAGCGTATCAGATCGCAAATTAATAAAATCAATATTGTATCTACAGCCTGCGTCTATCGATTTAGCACACTCCAGCAGCAATGAGAGCGCAGGATCTGATTGTACGATCGACGGGGCTTATGGAGATATGAAGACGAGAGCTGTAATTCAAACCCAAATCTCCGCAGGACACAGACAGATAAAAGGGCATTGCTCAAGGTGGGGACGTGATTATGAAGTCTGTCAAAGAAAAGATTCACAAAGAAAGTATAGAAGTGGCTGGGGACATTGTGTTAGCTTCTTAGCAAAAACGGCGACTTATAACCGTTGGAATATGATGGGACCTACGCTGCAATATTTAACAACAAAGACTAGAAAATACCAACATTTCTCTCAGCGTAGTATGATGAGATTAAGACTATGAGGTCCTTTATTCGTCCCACTGTTGGGAAATTTCAGTGTTGCATCACCAGTTAAAGCAAAGTACGAATGAGCAAACCAGTTCAAGGAAAATCAGACAAAAAAAACAAGCAATTGAGTTTGAAACCTTTAGTAGTTCTCTTCTTATATAAAAGGGTATTAAAACTGTATTTCCAAATCAATCAAACCCTGCATAAGGTCTTTAACTTTGCTTGAATGGAAACAATTGTGTGTGTAGCGGTTCTTCTGGCAGCCCTCTACTGTTTCCAGCTAGCTCTGCTTTGTTAGAATAGAACATTCAGTTTATTTGCCTTTAAAAGTACCCAGTGTGCGCAAAACACACCAAAATTTACACAATTTCCACTGTGATACTAATCAATAAACTACAGACAGTTGCTCTGGATATGTTGAACAGTCCTGAAAGGTAGCACTAATTTGCCCACTGAAAACTGAAAGTGAGATTGAAATCACGTTTGAGTACCCTCCTGCCGAGCCTTTGGTGTATTGCAGTCTGATGTTCAAACCAATACTGGAAATAACAAGTATTCAGGAGGTAATCCCACAGGTTATAGCAATACATGTAATAATCTTATATTGCAAAACTCTTCAATATATCTAATTGTGCAGCGAAAACGAAAAAATCTAGACCCAAGACAAGAGCATTAGCAGGGTTGTGGAGGAGAGGTGCAGTCATGGGCGGCTGGCTCCTCCATTAGACGCTCAATCCCTCTCTGTTTTAGCAGCTTTGGTTAAGTGACTAGTGTTAAGATCCCATTACAGTCAAGCTGCTATTCATCAACCCAGACTTTATTCTGCTAATGGTAGCATCCAATTATTTCTAACCAATTATCTAGAAAACGTCCCAGCGACCTAGGAAAATGTTCAGTGTTGGCTGGTTAAAAGTTACTTATTGTAGTAAGTAGTAAGTAAGTAATCTTTATTTATATACCACCTTTTCACTGCAGATCTGAGTCTCAAAGCGGTTTACAATTGTAAATGTTTTTTTCTTTTTTTTTTTTGGGCATTTGTCTCTCACTCCACACAGAGATGGGAGCAGGGTCACCAGTACAGGAGGCGCATGCCAGAACTATTGGACATATTTTTAGTGGTAGGGGAAACCGGAGTACCCGGAGGAAACCTACGCAGACACGGGGAGAACATGCAAACTCCACTCAGAAAGGCCCTGGTCCGACCGGGATTCGAACCCAGGACCTTCTTGCTGAGAGGCGAGAGTGCTATCCACTCAGCCACCGTGCCGCCCATTGTAGACCAAGAAATAGTCCGCATGGCTCAAAGGATTTCACATCACACAGTTGTAAAAATATATGGTCTCCAGTGACTATTGACTTGAGCCAATACTTTATAAATGCCTACATTACTAACAATATCCATTCATCCATTGCCAGAAGGACTGTGGAGCGAGTAAAACAACAACTAGTTTTTTTTCTAGCTGTGTTGCTAAAAGTCAACCTTGGAATGACAACATCTAGGTTTTTTTTATTTTTGTTTTGTTATTTTATCCAAGATTGATTGATTTTAAAAGTCTGTGATAAAGAGTGCGCATAAGATTCTCAATCGCAAATCTCAGGACAATGGAGAAGATGATATTTACTGTAGTCAGACTTTTCTAAAATGTTTTAATATTTAACAAGGACATAACATGCTAAATCTATAATTAGTAAGTTAATTATTGTCCCCTTGGAGTAATATACAGGTAAAACACAGATAATAAGAACATTTTTTTAAAGTTTATTTACTGTTAATGTTAAAATACCGGTAATAAATGAGCCTACCCTTTGACATGTGAGATATACTGTATGAAGGCAAATGAGATATAAGCCCTATTTGCTATAATGTTGATTATTGGCTCACAAAACCAAAAATAAAATTGCAGAACATTTTAAGAGTTTGAAAATGGACTGAACTCAACATTATAAAAACACGTATTTCACTTTTAATAAGTCTCATATCATAGTGTGTCTGTCTGAGTCTGGTCCGTCTGAGTCTGGCCTGTCGGAGTCTGGCCTGTCGGAGTCTGGCCTGTCGGAGTCTGGCCTGTCGGAGTCTGGCCTGTCGGAGTCTGGCCTGTCGGAGTCCGGCCTGTCGGAGTCCGGCCTGTCGGAGTCCGGCCTGTCGGAGTCCGGCCTGTCGGAGTCCGGCCTGTCGGAGTCCGGCCTGTCGGAGTCCGGCCTGTCGGAGTCCGGCCTGTCGGAGTCCGGCCTGTCGGAGTCCGGCCTGTCGGAGTCCGGCCTGCCGGAGTCTGGCCTGTCGGAGTCTGGCCTGTCGGAGTCTGGCCTGTCGGAGTCTGGCCTGTCGGAGTCTGGCCTGTCGGAGTCTGGCCTGTCGGAGTCTGGCCTGTCGGAGTCCGGCCTGTCGGAGTCCGGCCTGTCGGAGTCCGGCCTGTCGGAGTCCGGCCTGTCGGAGTCCGGCCTGTCGGAGTCCGGCCTGTCGGAGTCCGGCCTGTCGGAGTCTGGCCTGCCGGAGTCTGGCCTGTCGGAGTCTGGCCTGCCGGAGTCTGGCCTGCCGGAGTCTGGCCTGTCGGAGTCTGGCCTGTCTGAGTCTGGTCCGTTTGAGTCTGGTCCGTCTGAGTCTGGTCCGTTTGAGTCTGGTCCGTCTGAGTCTGGTCCGTCTGAGTCTGGTCCGTCTGAGTCTGGCCTGTCGGAGTCTGGCCTGTCGGAGTCTGGCCTGTCGGAGTCTGGCCTGTCGGAGTCTGGCCTGTCTGAGTCTGGTCTGTCTGAGTCTGGCCTGTCGGAGTCTGGCCTGTCGGAGTCTGGCCTGTCGGAGTCTGGTCTGTCGGAGTCTGGCCTGTCGGAGTCTGGCCTGTCTGAGTCTGGCCTGTCTGAGTCTGGCCTGTCTGAGTCTGGCCTGTCTGAGTCTGGTCTGTCGGAGTCTGGCCTGTCTGAGTCTGGCCTGTCTGGGTCTGGCCTGTATACTGTCCTATAAGCAGGAGGCCATTCTCCTCTCCCTCCACCACACCTACTCATTGTACATAACTTACTCAAAAATCTGAAACAATCTTCCTGAAAATGTGAGACGGGCCATTTCTCTGACACTGTTTAAATCCAGGTTCAAAATGGTTCTGTTTTTCAACTGAAGGATTTTATAGTTTTATCTTTAGTTTTAATATTATTGTGATTATTTATGATTTTAATGCTTACTTGGGGCGACAGTGGCTCAGTTGGTAGAGCATTGGCCTTTGAGCCTGGAGGTCGTGGGTTCGAAACCCACAGTAAGACCTACTTCAAGACTCCCACTGATAACTGCTGTCGTTGTGTCCTTGGGCAAGCCACTTAACCCAACTTTGCCTGAAGCCCCCGCTGAATAATCAAGGCTCCTGTGGACTCAGCACCTGCAGGAGGATCAGTGAGGGGCTGGTGCTCTGAGGACTGGGTGCAGCTCTGACTGACACCCCCCGACCCAGAAATGGATTGAGGGGAAGAAAATGGCTGGATGGATGCTTACTTGTTTCGTTACATATTCGGCAGCATTATACCATGACCTTTTGCTAAACGCGGACTTCCTCTGTGGTCTGAGCAGAGGCTGCAGGTCCTATGATATGATAGGTGCGTTTCACTACAGATTCCAAATATTGATCTACTGGTGTCATTCCTTCTCATCATCGGAGGCAGAAGCACACTTCTAAATTTAGTCTTGTGGAAGGAAATCAAAAACACGTCTTCTGAAGGTGAATATGAAACAAAACTCACTCCCCTGTCAGTAATGGCTCAGGAAATATCACGAATGATCTAAAAATTGCTGCAGGACAAATTTTGAGTCCATCTCGACAAATTTCACATCGTAATGGAACTCAGCACTGTCAGTGTTTGTGTGCGTTTCTTTTGTAGTCCACCTGCGTCACATGTTAGGATTGTGTTTGCACATACATGAACAAGGCTGGAACACTGCGAGGACAGTGGGAGATAGTGGAAAAGTACACACTGCTGCTAGTCCGGGTATAAAAGATCCATCTGGCAACGTGGGATCACAGGTAGAAATGAATATACTTTAAAAACAAAATGGTGGCAAGCCAGACTGCTGGGAGGGAGGCTTGCAAGAGGTAAAAATGTAAAAATATTGAGAAGAATTGGGATTATTTAATACCAAAAAATGCCATGACTGAAATTTTCCAACTTTTTAAAGCGGAATACGGGTGGTTTTTGGGTTTTTTGCGGGGAAATCTGAGTGCCTTCCACCTCAGAGGTCAATTCAACACAATGAATAATGTCATAAGGCAGCTTCCTCTGACCGTATTTGAACTTCCTGTCTGTTCGCGCTTCCTTAACCTCACGCTGTGTCCTCTCTACCCAGTCCAAATGTTTCCACTAACATTATGTGAAGCCTGGCAGCGTTTTCGCCCACCCCCACTGGTTAGACTAATTAAATTTGTTTTATTTACTCTTTAGAGAGAGCTCTGAAGTCCTTCTGAACATGAACTGTCAGCCAGCAACAGTGTGTGAACTCAAAAAAATAAAATAAAAATCAGGCTTCACAGTCGGCTACAAAAGGTGCGCTGAAATGACAGAACCTGAGACAATCCTAAAATCAAAACACATTTTTCACAGTGATTCATTCATGACCTTGTCCATGCATTTGGCACATGTTACCTTCTTGAGGGGAAAGGCTGAACTTTAATATTGTTCATTGGAAAACTTTCTATAATATTACACAATGTCATGAATTACTTTATAAATGATCAATCAATGTGTTGTATTGAACAAATATCCTTTAGTGAGACTTTAGTGTGACTTGGCTCCAGCACTTTTGGTTCTAGTTCAGTTATGAATGACTTTGATTTGAGATTTACATTACTCTTGGATTACTTCAGTTGTATTTTGTGCTGTATTCATGACAAAGTAGGACACTTGGTAAAACATGTTATTTTTCCCCGAGATTAAAATGCACATGGACGCTCATCAACTTGGACAAACAACTCGGGAACTCCAGAAACTTCCAAATTCCGCGCTGGAGCATCTCCTGCTGTGAGGAGATGAACCACCATCAGCAGATTTGTCCAATTATCCTGAATGTTTCATCTCTTGGACTCAACGCTGATGTTTATGAGAGCTTTCTGTGTTTATCCTGATCATTAGAGCAGCAGATTAGTACAACTCCATATTATTGTTGTACTAATGCCAACCTAATGAAGTATAGATGTGTTAGCAAACAAATAGCTTTATCTTGTATCTGGATAAATGCATGAACACAAACAAGTCGAAATCTGAACTGGGACGCCCGACTTCTGGAGGACGTTATTAACACAGCAATAAGCTGGGCTTTTATGTTTTAATAAATGTTTAAATAACAGTAAATCTCTCCACACACTGCTGCTGCTGATAATCAATGTACCGGACTCCAGCCTCACAGTCTGTGGTTTTCCACATGATCAAAGCTGTGGTTGTTTGTTAAAGCTGTTAGACATTAGCACATAGAATAAGTAACTAGTCTAATTCATGTAATTAAGATTACTTTTTAAATAACTAAATTAAGTGTTTGTAACTGAGTTATACCCAAGACGGGCCATAGCTGAGTTAATTCCATAGGAGTAATTAATTGTCACTGTGCGAACTCCTGGGGAAGAAATAGATCTTGTCAAATGTACGTAACAAAACAACACAAAAGCGGTACGTACTGTACGGGACACATTCATATTGGACTTCCAGGTATTTGTAGGTTCCGGGACAGGGGTCGGGAAATACATCAGGTCCAGCCACCACTGCACACTGCGTCCGGTTGTTGCATCTGAAATACACACAAACAAATAGCAATGTTTAAAAGATGTGCTTTGTATAAAAAAAGACCCAAAAAGTCACAATACAGCGTGTTTCTACCCTTTGAAAACTTTGTTTGACTCAGACATAAGTTACCTCCCTTGCATAGTCTAGTTGGCACATACATACATGTACATATAAACATACACACATACAGTATATACATACATATATACACACACACATACATATAAACATACAGTATATACATACATATATACACACACACATACAGTATATACATACATATATACACACACACATACATATAAACATACATACACACACATACTGTACATACACATATACACACACACATACATATAAACATACATACACACACATACTGTACATACACATATACACACACACATACATATAAACATACACATATACACACACACATACATATAAACATACATACACACACATACTGTACATACACATATACACACATACACACATATATACATACACACACATATGGAATAGGCCACTTCATATTTTAACACATAATTCCCTGCTCCATATTTCACCAACTCTGTATAAAACCAACTGCACAATGTTGTGCAAATGATGAAGGCCGTGGCATTTGCAATGACCTCAAATAACAACGCAAAACTTGCAAAAGAATAAGTGCTATGTACTGTCAATGCCACTCTCTGTAAGATACAAACCAAGGACATGCGTTTTAGGAAGTATTGTGTAGTTTTGAAGTGTTTTGTGGCAGTGGCCATGTACTGAGAGTAACATCAAACAGCTTTTTTGACCCTTTCGAGCTGTTGTTGTGTCAAATATTAGAGAAAGATACATGTTGTAGTGACCACATTTTTCCAACATAATTTTGCAAACAAATGATTGAATATGGTTTCTGATTTGTATATTCTTTAAACACATACTGTATGAGATTTAACCATACAAAGAGCTCTCATGATAATACAACTTGTTATCAACAGTAGATCTCTGGCCCGGGAACTAATTATCTGGCACTTTGGAGCACCCATCCCATTCATGACCGTTTCTCTCAACTTTGAGATCAGATCTGGCCAAAAGGACTGCTTTATGGAACAGTGACTTTTACTCTGGTTTTTCCTTGCCAACTAATGACAATTTAACATGAGACGTTCAGGTTAATTGACTTGCAAACCAAATGGAAGCTCTGGTTCCAAACTGATACCCTCTTCCATTCAACTGCGATCTATGAAATATACTCGCCAGATTTTCTAACTTTAATACTGTACATCTTTAAAATAGAGTTGGTCATAGCGCTATAGCACCACACATGTACTCACTCATACCTTACCATAACTACATTTTTACATGTGTCAGCAACATACATAAAATATTATTATTATTATTTCTGTCTTACTGTAATTTTTCTCCGACTGTGGACCTAACACACATTTTACTCATTCCATTTTTACAAAAAACGTTTATACTACATCGATTGGCGTTTTTAGCTTCAAACAGCGTCTAAGGTTCTTAATCCAAAATACAGGACAGGCCCTTTCTCTGCAGAGTTTGCATGTTTCTCTCCCTTGTCTGTGTAGGGTTCCTCCAGGTTGCTCTAATTTCCAATGCCTCTACAAACATGTACATATAACTGTTCAGGGTTGAATGACTGTGTTTTTGAGTGCGACATCACTTGCTGTTCATGTGCACACACTGTTGCATTCAAGTGACACAATGAACATATTATTTTACCATACCTCCTCATCATTCATCTTGGCCTTAACTTTCCAAATTTGTTGTAAGTTGCGACCTGCCGCTCATCGTCACCTTGTCAAATGCAATCCAATATTACTTTGACGGCAGACGCCGCCAGCGTATGTCTTACAAGGAACGCGCAAAAGGCAGCACAGAACAAGAAAGAGGAGAGGAGCGAGTACATGTGCAATTCTTACACATGGTTCAAGTCAATTCCAATCCATACCATTCCATTCCAATCCATTCAATTCAATTCAAAATCTCAATGTATTCTTGTATAAGCCCTGAATCACAAGAGTATAGTTTATCTCTGAAGACTCAAACATTTCAAATGCATCGATAAAAATGTCATAAATAGAGCCCTTGGGCCATAAGGCAGATTACATTGTCCATAAATGTTGATACAAGTCCAGATGGTAGCTTTAACAGGACATATTATGATTTGTTTTGAGGTTTTAAACATGATCTCACCTATTATGACTTTAACCTTAGCAGTGTATTCCTATACAATACAAAGGCCAGTTAGACAAAGAAATACATAAAACCTACAGCTCCAGTTTGTCTACAGAGGCTGTAAAAGTATTCATCCATAGTGGAATACTGCCCACAGTTTATATAACTAATAGTTATCTTTCACGGGATAATTTGCACTTTTAGGCTGAGAACCTTTTTCTCCCATCATGTCCTCTGATGCAATGCACTTTCTACACTGTCATCTTAACCTAAACAGAGCAGCGTTCATCTGCAGTCTGAGCATACTTAAAATAACACTTAGAACATTTAGATGACGGTGTGGACAGTGTTATAACAACCAAACATTTTTCACCATTCTTGTAAAAACAGCTTGTAACGTACCAAAGTTTAATGTCCACCTCTATAAATATTAGCCACGGTATCAAAATGGATATAGAGTATTATTTCTTCAATAATTTGATTTGCACAAAAAAAAAACAGGACCCAATCATCTCAAACAAACCACAATTTCCTCTTTGCACTTTGTGGCTATACGCATTTCCTTTGTGGCTCTGTTCCACACTCACCAAACACATTTCCAGGATCAAAAACATAGTGTCTAAAGCAGACCTGGAGATTCTTATCCATGCATTTGTCTCCAGTAGGTTAGACTATTGCAATGGCCTGCTCACAGGTCTGTCCAAACAGGCTGTAAAACAGCTGCAGTACATTCAAAATGCAGCAGCTCGAGTCCTGACTAGAACCAGGAAGTACGACCACATTAGTCCTGACTAGAACCAGGAAGTACGACCATATTAGTCCTGACTAGAACCAGGAAGTACGACCACATTAGTCCTGACTAGAACCAGGAAGTACGACCACATTAGTCCTGACTAGAACCAGGAAGTACGACCACATTAGTCCTGACTAGAACCAGGAAGTACGACCACATTAGTCCAATTCTCAGGTCTCTGCGCTGGCTTCCTGTGGCTCAGAGAATAGACTTTAAAACAGCTCTGCTTGTTACAAGTCTCTCCATGGCCTCGCACCAAAATATATTAGTGACATGTTAGTCCCATATGAACCAGCCCGGACTCTGAGGAGCACAGGGACTGGACTCCTGCTGGGACTCTGAGGAGCACAGGGACTGGACTCCTGCTGGGACTCTGAGGAGCACAGGGACTGGACTCCTGCCGGGACTCTGAGGAGCACAGGGACTGGACTCCTGTTAGTGCCCAGAGTCAGAACTAAACATGGGGAGGCTGCTTTTCAGATTCATGCTGCTAAAATCTGGAACAGTCTTCCTGAAGATGTGAGACAGGCCTCCTCTCTGACAATGTTTAAAACCAGGTTAAAAACAGTTCTGTTTAGCTGTGCTACAACTGAGGGATTTTATATTTTTATCTTTCTGTTTAATGTTCTGTGATTATTTATGATTTTAATCCTTTCTTGTTTTGTTCAGCACTTTGAGTTGCCCCCTTGTATGAATTGTGCTATACAAATAAACTTGCCTTGCCTTACCAGAGTTATTCCCCTTTATTATCCGTGTCAAGAAAGGAGCATATGTGTCCCCTATGTGTTGGAACGCAGGTGCAAATAGCCAGCCTTTGTGCTTGGTACGTGGTGTCATCCCGGTCTCGTCCCGGTCTCGTCCCGGTCTCGTCCCTCCCTGCACTTCACCTTCTCATTTTGTCAAAAGCAAAGCGTGTGGTAATGAGGCGTGCCACGTCCAAGACAATGGCTCCACATATAACCAGGTGCCAGATGGGGCTGTACACCGCGCTGGCAGGTTGATCTTCATTAAAAGTCTCCCAGCCTCCACAGCGACGGCAGACAGTTTGATTAGTTCGACAAAAAGATTGAATACACTTGTTAAAAATACATTACAGGCTTTTTTTTCCCATCAGATCACATTTAGCCATGATTAAACAAAGGAAAATCAATCTCATGTCTTATCAAATCTAATTATTTTTTCTTCTTCTCCTTTTTGTGGCCTGCATTTTAATGATAGCTTTCTTGCGATTGTCTCTGCCGCAACATAATGGGGTTAAAAAAGATAGTGGCTCAAAGCTGGAGTACGTAACTTTAGCGTGTTAGAAAACCATTCATCTGTTATATATCGAGAGCTGATTGGTCGATTTATCTTTTCCACTGAAAAACGTGCGTACATGGGAAAAACAGTGACGGAATTAACCAGTTTTGAGAACAAGGAAGTAGTTGGATGGATTTCTTTGCAGAGCTCATTTGTTGTGTTTTTAAAGTCTAGTTTGGCATATACATACCTATACATACCGTAAGCTATATCCCATTTTTTTCTAATGAGTTAATAAAAATGCTTATTACTACATATAAGTTGTATCATAATCCGTAATTTCATTGATAACTGGAGTTCATTGATTCAGCTGTGTATGAATTCAGGCTGTAACAAGTAGCAGCTCTGATTCCCCCCCGACCCAGAAATGGATTAATAAAGGGGTAGAAAACGACATGACATGAATAATAACTCAGCACTAAAATAAAATAAAATCAGCATAAAAAGAAGCAGTAGAAAATCTCTATCTTTAGCATAATAAGGAAATGCGTCTTAAAATCTCCAACGTTAGCATGATGAAGAAGCAGTAGAAAAAAGTGCAAAAGGCCCTAACTTTAGCAGAAGAAGGAGCAAGTTTAAAAGGCTGTATCTTCTAGAGCAAGTAAGTCTTAAGGCATCACCATAAGCATCATCATAAAGCCACTAATGGCGACGGTTCTGGAGGGCGGGTAAGCTATGGCAGGTGTCCCGGAATGGCAGTGACAGCATGCGGAAATCAGATTGAATGTTCAAGTTTGTTTAGGCTTTCTTTTGCAAACTGCGGTTTAACAGAAGGCGCAAGCACCGATCCACCAACTTCAGCGAGAAACTCTTACCTATATCCCATCAACAGTCGCCCGTGGCTTATTGCTTACTCTGCTTCCTCAATGCTCCGTTCGTATCTGCGCGCCGCCATTTGTTTAATGAGCCGTGCTGCGTGCTTTTGAGGACATCATCAGTGGCGTTCAGGTATTTAAAAGGGAGGGTCTTCGCCATCCCTGTAGCCAGATACACATTTCCGCATTTTCCTATTAAGAACTGAAAAGGGCTTTGCATAATACCCAGCCTGCAGAGGGGGAGATATAATTTGAGCTTCGATAGTGCAGCCATATTAGACTGAAAGAAGGACTGGAATAGTCTCATTGGCAGCCGCAGAGGAATGCGGCGTCGCGCTGTGATATTGGTTTTCATTTCGGCCCCCAAACCACATCAAATCTGCACCTCTGTAAGAATTCTTTATTGTGAACAGCCTGTGGCCAATCAATGAAAAGAATTAACCGATTAAAACGCACAAAAGAAAAAAGGAACAAGAAAGATTGGAGACTTGGAAAGGGAATTAGTATTCGCCGCATGTTGCCGGACAGTGAGGCGTATGGGCGTATTCTAATCCACCTGTTCGCAAACAGGAGTCTGTGTTGCACATTGTGAAAGAGATTCTACACTAAAGAAAAATTACAGAAGCCAAAAAGGGATTGGACAAAAATACACACATTAATTGAACAGGATAGACATGACCGAGCTCTGCAGGCGGGTGTTTGTGTATATGTTTTTCATCATCAATATTAACATTTTTCTTTGTCCCAACAGAAAGAGTCTTGTAAAAGTAACATTATGGGACTAAATCAGACCACAACATGAGATCTTGTAAGAAAAAGAGCCCTGTGAGTCTCTATTTGACTACTTTTCTGTCTGAAAAAGCTGATCTAAATATGTGACAAAGGTCAGAAAAACAACATGCATGTGAAAAGAAGTGATAGACAGTGTAAGAATGAGGAACGAGTTAGGGAACCCGGCTTTAAAAAGGCTGGGAAGACTTTTATACCCTGCCCAGATTTAGTTTGTACAGGTCATTGTGAGTTCAAACTTTAGAGGAATAAATATCATTTGCAAAAAAAAACAGAAAAGTGCCATTAGAAAAATATTTGAAAGACTTACAATTTGCCCTTTAACAAGTTTTTGTTGACGTATTTTAGTGCCATACACATGAAGTTGCTCTTGAGAAAAGTATTTCAAATGTACTGGCAATAACACAATATTTCAAGATTGTAGCAAGAGGAATACAACGTTTTGACTTAAAAAAAAACCGCATTTATCTGGTTTTGCAAAGAATGAGAGTTTGTCCAGAAAATCCACCCGGAGACCAGTTGTAAAATGTATAACACAAATCAATCCCATTCATGAAAGCTACGGAAAGGCCCCATATTCAACATTACCTTCTGGTTGATGATGTTGACCCAGGGGGATGTGCAGTTGCTCAGGTCTGGTCCTTGGGGGTCCCAGTATCCCTCTGGACCCTGGCAAAAATAAGAAGCCACGCCTGCAAACACAAAACATTTACCTCCCTTTAGAAACAGAACGCATGGAAAATATATGTCTTCATTAAAGCCAGTGTCGGGCAGGGTGCAGAGAGAGACAGTAAAAGGCAGACAGTGTGAAAATACAGACTCACTAGGCAGATGTACGCCACAAACTAAAATAACAGTCCGCAATTAAGGAAGGTATCGCTGGTTCGCCTCAAAAGGTAAAAAAAATATCTGTATGCGTAACTATTGAGGATTAAAGGATTTTGTTAAACACTTCACGTCTTATTTTCACAGATTTTTAGGTTTTACATATAGAGTTTTTGCCAGTCATCCAGTTTATTTGGCGTTTTTCCAGTAGTTTGTGAACATCCGTGACCAGAGAATCAGAGCTATTTATTGTACTGTATTTAAGACCCACCTTTTAACATATACATAAAGATATAGACAAAAGAATGAAAATAAATACATGAATCCCTTTAACTTTATCATCCGGCAGGTTTTACACACACAGTTATTTTAGCTGTGAACTAGGATATAATTTAGTTTATTTTAAGTTTTCATTATAGTCAATATAAAAGGGATCATAGGCCTACAGTAGGTACTGGGTTGACAGCTCTTCAGCATTGATCAGACACAAACAGCTGGGGTCTAATCATATAACGACTTTATCTGTTTTTAATTTAAATACATGTATCACACTATTTTATATCATTGCTTTGGTAAATACAACGCTGAATTTTATCAAGAAATCCGGAAATGTGTCCAAAAAAAATGGCAACCAAAACACATTCTGTCTTGCTAGTGTGCTTGCTAGTGTGGTGGCTGAGTGGATAGTAGAGTTTCGCTTTTCAGCCCGAGCCCGAGCAGGCCCGAGGCCCGACCTGAGTTCGGGCCGGGCTTGGGCCTCATTTTGGCGCTCAGCTGTCGGGTTCGTGCCGGGCTCGGACTTCTTTTTTAAAAATATATATTTCTTTTTTATTATTATTATAATTAGTTTAAAATTATGTTTATACATAATGATATGCATATATATATACATATATATATATTAATAACAATGTCCGTTGATTTACAACAAGTTATTAAAAAAAGTTAATATATTAATGACACCGTAACCAGCGTGTCCTACAGCAGCAGCGAGCCGTGAACGCATCATCCCCGTGTCTCCTGCTGCTGTGGTCAACAGCGAACAGGAACAACAGTAGAAATGGATCAAGTGGAGACAAAACAAATTCAAAAGTGGAGACTAAACTTGCGATTGGAAGGTGAGTGCGTACAAGGAAATCAGATGTGTCGGGTTCTGTCGGGCTCGGGCCTGTTATACAGCGTTCATTGGTCGGGCTTATATGGGCTTGGGCTTGATTTTTCAGGCCCGAACAAAACTCTAGTGGATAGTACTCTCGCTTCTCAGCAAGAAGGTCCTGGGTTCCAATCTGGGTCAGTACAGGGCCTTTCTGAGTGGAGTTTGCAGGTTCTCCCCGTGTCTGCGTAGGTTTCCTCCGGGTGCTCCGGTTTCCCCTACCACTAAAAACATGTACAATAGGTCTGGCATGTGTCTCCTGTACTGGCCCCTCTCCCAAAAATAACAACTGTAAACCGCTTTGTGACTCTGGTCTGTGAAAGGCGGTATATAGATAAAGATTACTTACTCCCTAGTTCAGTTTTTTCTAACCTGATTCAAGTTACAGCATCTTTCCTTTGATCACTAACATTGTGCACGTTCCCTGTTGACAAAGGACACACACTAACTACACCGTACACGGACAGACTGGTGTCTATATTTCCCGAGCTGCCAAACAAACTGACTTTAAATCGCCCTTCCTTCTACTTAAAGGCACGGTGAGTGTTCGCGGGCGAGACAGCCAACATTAGCAGATATAAATTTTGATTGACACATAATTTCCTTCCTGCAGTACACCTCGGACAGCCGTACGTTTGATGGGTTTATAAGATAAGGGACTTTTTGCCGGGTGGATGGGAGAGAGAGTTTCAAAGCCAAATGGCGGCAGTGACAGTGTCTGAAGAGCGGCGCCGCTTTGAAGAGAAGGTGGGGTTGCCTGGCTCTTATCTCGCACATATGACGGCTGCGAATGAGGTCTCCATGGACTGGATCGCGTTAATGAAGTGTGTATGCGGATGTGACTGAGGGAACTCTAAATGAAAAGGAGACTACTTTGAGAAAACTCTGCCGGATCCAAACGAGGGCGACTCCACTCATGAAAAAACCATGAAAGAGAATCTATTATATTCCTTAACTACGGTTTTAATTTGGGCTAAGCTCCTCTTTTAATGCCAGGCAGCTGTTTCCAAATGTGTTCATCAATAAGAAAGGGCAACAGAACTCGGTTAAAACGCGGGATTACAGTTTGGGAGAATTATTAACAAGTTGAAATGTGTTGCGTCATGTTTCAGAGTCAAAAATAGATTTGTGTGAAGAATGAAAGGACAAGCAACTTATAACTACTTTGTCGTGCCAAAACACACTGGGTGGCCTTTTATTCAAATCAAGGAATACATTGGATAGCTCCTCTAGACACTATAGCATATACAAAAATTATAATTATATTGATTCAAATTGGAAAATATTTCAGATATTTCTTTATCTTATATATATACGTTTAAGGGCAATCAAAATCAGACAAACAATCAAGCAAAATATAAGCATAAAACACAAAGCAAGGACAAAAGGGACAAACAAAGACACCAAAGAAAAAATTATATATAAAAGTTTCCGAACATTTGCAGGTAATTCTTTTTTCTAATCAATTGACGGGATGAACCTAAAAGTCAGAGAGAGAGCACACCTTTGTCATAGATCCTAGGTGTCAAAGTCAAGGCCCGAGGGCTAGATCCGGCCCGCGAGACTATTTTCAGTGGCCCTTGAGATGATTTTAAATAGAGGTGCAACGGTTCATCACTGATCCGTGATCCGTTCGGTTCAACGTCTTCGGTTCGGTACAGACGTGATCCGCGGTTTGATTTATGAAAAAAAAGTTGTGCGTTGTTCAGTCCACACACAGCGCGGTCATTGCGAGCGGAGGAACGGAGATGCTTGAAAGCCCTGCGTCATTTAAATCCCCAGTATGAGAGCATTTTGGCTTCACTGTAACTACACTGATAATTAATATTCGACAAAACTGTCACGATGTGTAAGCACTGTGGCACAAGAAAGACATGAGTGAAAAAAGCGTCTCAACGACCGCTTATTGTCGCGGCATTTAAGCAGCTCCTTTACGCACAGTCACACCGGGCTAAAGTCAACTCTCCCGCGCATCCTCAGCTGCGCTCACGACTGACGCTTGGACGTCCCGCGGAACCTATAATAGATCCATGAGCGGAACCGCTCACTTCATCACCGCAGACTGGGAGATGAAAAGTCTGGCGTTGCAGACACGCCCCCTCTACGACAGTCACACTCTCACACAGCGCAGGTACTGACACAAGCAGCGGAGGAATAGAAGACAAAGGCCCAGTACTAATATCCCAGTCACAACTGATAATGCCAAAAATTAAATAAATGCAGTGAATAAGGCTGGGCCCAGAATGGAGCGCCTCCTTGGGAGAATCAGGAAGGTGGTGTAATATATGAGAGTAAATATCCTCATAAAGTGCCTTCTTATGTTGCACTTTGTGTTGTTTTTCATTAATTATGTTAAATAGACATAATTGGATGGATGGAATATGCCATCCATCCATCCATCCATTTCCTTCCCATTAATTCATTTCTAGGTCAGGGGGGGCAGTCAGAGCAGGTGCCAAGTCCACATGAGCTGTGTTTATTAAAAAGACAACACTTTTTTTTTGAAAAATGAACCGAACCGTGGCCTCTGAACCAAGGTACGAACCGAACCGTGATTTTTTCAAACCGTTGCACCCCTAATTTTAAATGATTATATTAAATAGCAGCATTAATGGTCATAGGCGACAATGGCATGTTATCCATTACTAAGAAAACAACCATAACATTTAATTCCATAAAAAAAGTTAAGCCAACATGTCATTAGAAGTTAGTATTGTTATGTAATGTTTTTTACCAGTCTCCAATTACATTTTCTTCTTAAAGATATGAATGAGGATCTCCCAATTTTCTTAGGAAAGAACCGCCCTCTCCACTTTTTGAACAAAACTCTCTGGTCTTATTTGACGAGCACAAATAACCAGAATGATTGACAGTTGGGAGGACCAATAATCTTGATGATCCACCCAAAAGTAGAAAATTAAGAGTTGTTCAATAAGCATGAGTTCAATAAGCAAAAGTTATGAGTTGTTCAATAAGCATGTCTATAATTTGGCTGGATGACAACGCGTTTATGATCTAAGTAGGGAAGTAATCTCTATTTATGTAGCGCCTTTCACCGACCAGAGTCACAAAGCGGCTTACAATTGTGGGCATTTGTCTCCCACTCCACGCAGGTAGCCGGGCACGTACAGGAGGCCAGACCTATTGTACATGTTTTTAGTGGTAGGGGAAACAGGAGCACCCGGAGGAAACCTACGCAGACATGAGAGGAACATGCAAACTCCACTCAGAAAGGCCCTGTTCCGACCGGGATTGGAACCCAGGACCTTCTTGTTGAGAAACGAGAGTGCTATCCACTCACGGCACGGTGGCTGTCCACAGGAACTGAACTAATTCTAATCAGAAAAGAATGTCCAATCTAACTAATGTGAAGCAAGTCATTTATTTAGATACCTTCATATTCCAACATTTTTTTTATAAATGAAACCCACTTATTTTTTCAGGCCCTGACCAGCCTATTTCTTTGTTTATTCGGCCCTCAACCAAAATAAGTTTGACACCCTTCTCATAAATCATCCAAAAAGGTGAATTGCATCTCCCTTGATCACATCCATCCGCAGTCTGCACTTATCTACGCATGTTCTCCAGTGCATTTACAATTACAAGGAGAGCCTTCGAAGAGGCAACAGTACATGGATCCAGACGTGGTATCCAGAGCACAGGCGCCGATGCGGTGAGACTAATACAAACGTCTTTACCCACTAATTAATTACACCAATTGGATCCTCCGAGACGAGGCATAAATGCGGCGGCGTGTCGTGCTGTTTACCGTGTGCCGTGTGGATGTAATGCAGAGCTATCTTTAGAGCCAACTGCGTCAGGGAGTCAGGGAGAGATGATGAAATAAGAACATCAAGGGCTGTAGCCTCAGAGGAAACACTTGAGGCGTTTGATAAAGAGAGTGTGCGTGAGTTCATTAAAAGATGAATATATTATAACACATAGAAAGGTTAAGGGAATGTGTCTTCTGCATTTGACCCATCCTTTCAATGCCACCCAAGGCAATCTGTGATAATTGTTATTGGCTCAACATGGCGTAGAGCAGAGGTGTCGAACTCATTTGGTTGGACGGCCAAATTTAAAAACGTAAGAGCCGGTTGGGGCCAGAAGTATATGGATATTATCAAGAATAGATGTAATGGAAGCCTCATAGCTAAATACAAAAATCTTTGGCCAAACTAAACTTCAAATCACATGTTAGTTAGTTAACATTACCCATTACCATCAATGCTTTCATCATCAATAAATAAACAGAAAGACAATTAAAAGAATCATTAAAGCCCAAGTTGATTGCAATACGTTTTTAGCCAAAAAAACATTCTGGGCGTTTTTTTTTTTTTTTGGCATTCTCACGGGTTTGGGGTTGGAAAATCTTCAAGGTAACAGACAAGTGGTTTAAGGATATTTTTTACAAGGGACTCCAGCTATAAACCAAATCCTTTCCTATTGAAGTGTGAAAACATTGGGCAGCGTACCTATAGTTCCCGGTGGGCACGGCATCTTGGCCACCAGCCCCTGCTTGGTCTTGGGCCAGGACACGTCCATCATGACCATGGGGTTACAGGACTCCGCTCTGGGCAGGTTGGACGAAGCCGCTGACCTGTCGTCTTCTTCTGGGTTCAAACCCTCCACCACCGTGTGCACCGGGGCGGCCGCCGTCGATGTAGTGCGGGCCCAGTACGGCACCGGGGTGGTCGTGGTCGTGGGGGTCCTGGCGGTGCTCGTCCTGGCCATGGTGGTCGTCATGGTGATCGTGTTGGAGCGAACGGTGGTGCGACTTGTGGTGGTGGTGGTGTCCATGTAAACCATAACAGAGGAGGAGGATTCTGGGGGAAAAAAGGAGAACAAAATATCGGAAAGTTAATGCAAGTTTTATTCAAAGATTTTAGGAACTGATTAATCACAACCAAACACATAGAAGTACTCAACATGAAGTACTAGAATATGTCTTTTTTAGTAATAAGGCCTCATTTAGTTCACTAGACCGGGGCAGGGGCTGACCACCTGGATTTGGGCTGTTCTCTGCTTTAAAATTAAGTATGACATGCATATTGATTAACAGTTGATGGAGCTGAAGTTGTGCTGTGACCAAAAACAAATGTTGCTATAGTAAAACAAAGTTAAGAGTTGTTCAATAAGCATGTCTATAATGTCTATGTTTATGATCTAAGTAAGTAAGTAATATTTATGTAGCGCCTTATACCAACCAGAGTCACAAAGCGCTTTACAATTGTGGGCATTTGTTTCCCACTCCACACAGGGAGCGGGGCCAGAACAGGAGGCGCATGCCAGAACTATTGTACATGTTTTTTTGTGGTAGGGGAAACCGGAGCACCCGGAGGAAACCTACGCAGACATGAGGAGAACATGCAAACTCCACTCAGGCCCTGGTCCGACCGGGATTCTAACCCAGGACCTTCTTGCTGAGAAGCGAGAGTGCTATCCACTTACGGCACGGTGGCTGAGCCCATGGCTATTCTGTGATTTTCATTCATAAAATAAGGCCTGTGATTGGCTACATAGAATATACCGAAAAACAAAAAAGAATCAGTTCAGGCAGTTCATTACATTTCCTTCCAATGCAATTTATCATTGCAATCCCTTTTGTTTATCTCATTGATGCATTGTGACCACAGATTCTAAAGGAAGATGTAAAAGTTGAAACTTTCCAGCAAATTAGCTGTGGTTTTTCCAATATATTCTCTTTATCAGTCTCTTTCAGGGTCGGGGGGATGACAATCAGAGCTGCAACTGCTTCCACCTGCAGCAAGGGCCACCCAATGCTCACCGGTCCCTCGCTGCAGGTGGAAGCAGTTGGAGTAGGTCTAATGGGGGGATCAAACCCACGACCTTCAGGCCCAAAGGCCAATGCTCTACCAACTGAGGCACTGTCACTGGTTTTCCAATTCTTGGGTTTCATTAAACTGGCCAGTAGGGGGCGAATGAGCAGAGGTGGGACAACTCAGTGTTGCTCCCATTGAAAACCACGTAGTCTGTTTTGGAGTCAAAGGCTCTCCTCCTGTGCGGTGTACAGGAGGAGTTGGGATCAATTCTAAGGGAGTACTAAAAAATATTTCTCAAGAGAGTCTTGATTTTGGGCATTTTTAGAAAGAAAAACCGAAGAAATTGCTGCGTTTCATTGGGGTGGCCTACAAAAAGATGGCATTTTGACAGCGTTTCTTCTTTATCTATATCTCCGTGTATAAACCCGGCAGACTGCACCGCCAGGATACGTCACGTCCTGTCCTACGTTTGTTATTCGCGCCACTGCCCTGACGTCATATGAAACCCAAGAATATAAAAAATTAAAATATCTGGAGATCGGCCCAATCAGAAGCGAAAGTTAATTGCAATTTTGATAGAAGGTCTTATTTCCCTTTTGAGGACATTTGAAGATTACTTGGCTCTGACAGGTGTGACTTTGCATCAACATTCACAGTGTGCAGTTCTGGATCCCCACCGGCAAAGCAGCAAACACACACGGTCTCCTGCTGAGGTTTCTAAAAGTAGCTGTTGACATGGGCCGGTCTCACTCACGCTCAATAACGGTGTGCTGTGGCTACATGTACCTTCTATGTCAAGTAGCGATTTCGAATGTGCGAGTCTTCACAACGGGTGGCGTGGTCAGAGGCGTCAGCAAATGTGGCATTCAGAAACATTGGCATCAAAGCGTGTTCGAACGATGATGAAAAACAGGATGCAGGCAATATGGTATGTACCCTGCTGGCTGGTTTGGCCTTGTTTTGATTCTAGTTTAGTCCAGTTCCTGATCATGGACTGTAGACAGAGTGGACCAATCGAGGGCTAACGTCAGCCATATTGTTTGCCTAATGTGGATGGAAGAAGCTGTTTAGAGCTGACTCAAACAGGCTCTATTATGGGGAATGGGGAGCCAAATGTGTGGGTAGCAACGACATAGCAACCAAAGAGCCAATCAGGATTGATGCCATTTCTGCTCGCTAGAGAAAGTTGAAATGAGGAACAGAAAACACCTGATTGCGAATTCAAGCCCAAACAACTGACCAAAGACATACAAAAAATAGACCGAATTTTTTTTTTGGGTCCGGCTCAAATCCTGGTTTAGGAAACTAGACACTACTCCGTGTGCGGCTGGGGACTTTCTCCTTCTCTTTTTGGGGTACAAACAGAGTACCCGTTTGCTTACACCAGTTACGTATTGTGGTGTATTTTCTAAAATGCATTCATACATATAAAATTCCACATCTCATTTATAAGCCCAAAAATCCCATTAAATACAGTTTCACAATTCCAGAAAACAACAGCCAAAATTAAAACAAAATATACTTTCAGTTAAATTTTACATTGGTGCAAATAAACACACATCTGAGTTATCCCTCCCTGCACTGTAGCTCTCAGAGACAAATATCTGATGAAGGAATTGTGGCCGAAATGTCACAAATAAAATAATCATGAGTATTTTGCCATTTGAGGGTCAGAGGGTCACTTTGAACGTTTAGAAAATCAGTGCAAAACATTGAACTATAAGGAGGAAGTTTGATTCAATATCATTTGTTCATATATATATTTTAAAATTCAGTTCACTGTTGATAATGGACTTTTGACTTTTTGACTTTTTGGCTTTTTGGCTTCTCAATTCAGTCTAACAAAGTATGTCACAAGTGAAAATCATGCAAAAACATATGCACCTACTTTTTAAATGATTCCATTCACTTTATTGTTGTATAGCCCTAAATCACAACAGCAGTCGTCTCGGAGGACTTTACCAATTATGCGCAACATTTGTCACATGAGATTCAAACGTTAATTTGCCGGTTTTCACCATCAGTGTCTCAATCTCTAAAAGTATTCCCTCGCCGTTTTTAAAATTATGTAAACCTAATTCTGCCCCACAATGCCACGGCAAAGCAATTTGATGGTAGAAGTCTGCTTAATGTAAAGATACAATCAGAACGACAGAAGTGACAAATGGCCCCAGCTTCTAAATGACAGGAGACCAAAACATAATTTAATGAGGGTCGATTTTTAGGCTGTCAGCTGTAATGGATGTCACGCATCAAGAGAGCTCTGATAACAACCATCACCTGCAAGAGGCCACTTTGCTAATTTCTGTTGAGCCCATGGATCTATTATATTAACTGGATAGGGTGTTACAGCTTGTAGCTGAATAACCCATGTGCTCAGGGGATTTTCGTGGTACTGCAGACTGAACCAGACTAAATTCACGTGGGCTTCCCAGAAATTTTCCCCATAGAACTCAATGCAAATTAAAACAGCTCGACCTCAGCTGACAGAGAACCTGACAGAGAACCTGACAGAGAACCTACAGCTTTCATAAAGGTCGGATTTTGTGGGGATTTTAGTGTCCCTTGTCATCCTGAACTTTTTTTCTTCATCCTTCGGTTTTGTTTAAATCCACACTTTAGTGCCACAAACTCTGCCCGTCTGGCTCTCGCTCTAACTCCCGCTCTGATGAACTGCTCTGATTGGTCAGAGCGCGGCCGAGCCCCTCTGTGCACGTGCGTGAGACCCGGTGTGAGACCCACACCGGGTCTCACAATAGGGCGCCATCTTGGATCGCCGGGGCTTGGTTGAGCCTGATCTCCCTCAATGTTAAATGCAAAACCATAAGTCACAGAATTCCCGCTGAGATTTTGGTGAAACAATTGGAATTACTATCAGTTACTACCGATGCATTTGGCTCGCAGGAGCCAAGAACTGAGCTAAGGTTGATTAAATGTGTTGCCATCGCAGCGAGAGTCTAAGGCTGATTGAGCATTTGTTTTCTCGAGCAAAGAAAAATAATTCGTTGTTTGTTTTCGGATCCACGGGTGTTGTGGATTATCCTGTGGTGGAGCTCGATCAGTGAAGTAGCTCATTGGTTACAACTTACCCAACTAAATCACACAGTTTGGGGGGTTTTAATTTAAGGATCACAAATCCGTTTGTTGACTGGAAGAAGTAAGTAGTTCACTGGCCCCAAAATGCAGCCAGTTACAAAGACTTTAACTCCTGATATATCAAGACAAGAGACAGACGGACATCAGTTATGAGAGTTTATTAGAGAGTATAGTAGGATTTTGATTCTGTTTTTTTCTTCATTGTATTGTTGTATGTGGTTGAGGGGATTGGACTTTAAAACAGGCTTTTGCTTTGACCACGCCCTTTTAAAACCATGCACAGGTTTTGTTGTTTGTTTTTTTGCTGTGAATTATTGTTTTTATATCTCCTGCATTTTTGAAAAAAATAAACAACTGAATGAATGGCATCATTGCAAATTGACAGTAAACTTTATAGAAAATAATTTAAGTATGATGAACTAGAAAAGTAAACATTTCAAACACCTTTAATTAAATACATGTTTAAACGGCGCCGTAAAGATGGCGCCGTGGAAAGAGCTCTGGTGTGTGTTGTCTGGTGCACACTGGGGTAGTCTTGCACAGTTTTTCCAATGTGGTTTTACTGCAAATGGCAAATAAATGAAACTGAATCTGATCTGATGTTTGTTTGATCACTCTGTCTTTGTTTATGGTTTTGCTTTAGTCCAGTCCAACTAAATCCTCGCCTGATGTTTCGGTCGGTTTCATCTCATTTGTTTTCCACCTCTTTATTAGTCCATTTCTGGGTTGGGGGGGGATAGCACCAGTCCCTCTGATCCTCTGCAGGGGGTGGGTCCACAGGAAGATGGATGCTCCATCAGCGGTGAAACCGCCTTGGTCTTAAGCCCCCGCTGAAGGTTTAGTGTCTTACCCAAGGACACAACGACAGTAGTAATTTGTGGGAGCAGTTGGAGTAGGTCCTATGGTGGGCTCGAACCCAGGACCTCCAGGCCCAAAGGCCAATGCTC